CTCACTTGCGTCGTTTCCCTGCGACAAGTCCCTCCCACCAGGGAAGCATGGAGAGATGCAAGGAAACCACGAGAAGCAGGGAAATTAGTTTTAATAGCAATGGGACTTCCTTTCCTCCGGAGCGTCACGTGAAGCGACGTCCGTTTGTGATGACGCTGCACAGCTGATCGTCTGACAGCAGCCAGCTCTGTCCCCGTTATTTCCACACACACACCCCCGCCTCTGTTAGTACACATTTACTGACACAAACATTTGTATCATCTGCCGTAGACCCAAATAAATAAAATCAAATAAGAACTCATTCTCAAAAAATATAAACGCCATTCTTAAAATGTATAAACGAACAATAGTTGGATTAATATTGATTAGAGTGCACAATAGAAATAAAATAATTGAGAGAAGAAAAAGAGATATGTTATCTATCAAAACCCAGTTAGATTAACATTCATTGGATTGCACACTTTGTTTGTTTGTGTGGATATGTAGCACATTAACATTTTAATAGCACTTAATGACTGACTGAATGGAAATGACAGTAAATGAAAATATAAAACGAAAAAAGCGATCATGAAAATGTTTCCAATAAATGAATAAAATGATTTTTTTACCACTTTGTTGTTCAGATATATCACATATTTGTAACTAAATGATACATGAATTGAAACAAAACACAGTTTAAACTGAGGAGTGACTCTCGTGAGTTTCATTTATTTTCTTCACTCCGCTGGGGTACTGCTCTCGTGTAGAGAACAAGAAGCATGAGATCAGTGCATGCACTGTATCGTCCAATCAGTGAGCGATACACAGTAAGGGGGCGGGGCGAGTATCAGAGGATTTAATCGGAGGATGGACTGGTGGTTCCTCTATTATCGCTCCTCCATTATCGCTCCTCGCTCCTCAATCCTCGGTCCTCCGGCAGAAATAAGAGCCATGGGACGGTACTCAAGATGGCGCAGACAAATCAACTTCCGGTGAGACCGAGGAGCGAGGAAATGAAAATAGTCGACCTGAGACAGGGCCACAGACGTTAAAAGCTGATTTTTGGACGACCGCAAACTCAGAAACATCACTGTTGCCGGAAATACATCAGAGGAGGAGCCATCAGTGTATCCTCGATTATAACTCCTCCAGAGAGCCTCCTCGATGTGCATTTAGAGAAATTCAACATGGCACGCTGAAATCCATTTCCGGGTCGCTACCGGAGAACCGGGGAGTCGAGGAGGGGAAATTAGAGAATTGAGAAGCCTTCACAGACACAGAGATGCACAGTGCCACTGCATGTGTCATGCATATAAACAGAGTAAAAAATGAGACCTGAAATAGTTTAAGATTTGGTTGGTTTGAAAAGTTATGGTAAACTTTGTCCTGGTTGTTGTTAAACCCTGTTTATTACAAAAATAAAGCAAATGATTAAGCCCTAGTTGTTTTAGGGGCTTTGAAAGTTCAGGAAGTTCATAATCAACAATAAAAAAGATTTATAGAATATAAAAAAAGACAAACACATTTTTGTAATCAACATGTTTATTAAATGGACTGGCAACTACAACAGTAAGCAGCAGATAAAGATGAATGCTTCTGAAAGGAAAAGAGAAAGCTTAACCAAGAATAACACATCAATGCCAAATGATACCCTCGATTTTACAGACGGGCCCCTTCGACCATTTCTTAGTTGCAATTGGGGCAATGTTATAGGTGGGTATATGCCGTTTTTAGGCAAAGCAGTCAGTTTCATGATCATTTTTAAAAGCTGAAATTCCCTTAGGTTCATCACTTGATTAACTGTAACTCCATGTTGCCAGATACAGGCAAGAACACTAAAGCGATGACAATGACATCCAAGTAACACATTGTCTAAACAGTCGTCTAAACAAATGATAAAATAAAACACACCTTGTACATCACAACTTTGATTTACAGCCAAAATAATAAGACCATTGAAGTAAAACAGACTCATATTCCAGTTAAGAGGTTTGGAAAAAACTAAGTTTTACAGATGGTTCACTACACTCTTCTCATGAATTTGTGGAGATCATATGATGGCATTAACAATGTGAGCTATACATTAAAAAAACAAAAACTTATTTGGTACAACCAATTCATGAATGCAACTAAGTGTTCTTCCTGGTTACATTTCAAGTATGAAGCAATGGCAGCATTAACATGAGCTTAATAAGAACTGGGAGGAATTGACAGTTGACTTGATGGATTTTGAAATGTTTGCCAGATAATTTCTCCAGAAAAAATTGCGACAAATAACTTTTACTACCTGCAAAAGAACTCCAAAACTTAAAGACTGAGCAACAACATTCAGGAATGTCTTTCTGGTTCCAATAATTAACATTGAAACATCTTAATTTTGACGATGCAGTGCATGCACTGATCTCATTTTTTGAAATCAGTCACTTTGAAAAGTGACTGATTTGATCCTACAATAGCACTTTTCAAATGGGCTTTAAATATTCAATCTGGAGAAAATAATCCTGTAATTTGGTCACCTGCAATGAAGCATTCCACTACACTAAAGCAACAAAACCTGTGTTGCATTAAAACATCATACAGTGAACTAGACAATGATTAATAGGGCAGCTGAAAAAAAACCACGAATTTTCAAAGTGCAACTCATCATGTATCCAATGACTGAATATATTATTTAAGAAGAGGCTGATAAGCTAGGTGAGATAGATGTAAGTAAAACATTGAATTCATGAAAGCTTGGGTGGAACATTTTTCTTATTCCTGTACAATAATGTGTTTTAAAACCATCAGATATAAGTATTTTTCATTTTTGTTGGGTTTAAATGTTTTTATATATTCAGTTTTGTATTCCCTCTGAACTGATTATTTTTTTGACACCTAGCATTCAGTCTTTGTAATTATGTAATTGCACTTAGAAATAAAAAATATATACACACCAAAATCCCATTTATAAATGAGCCTTCAAGTGCTCAGTTCAATAGTTTGGAACCAGATTAGCAAACGTTTTGTTTCTGGGATATATGATATCCCAAAAATGGCAGATGAAGATTTGTTTGTCTCTGAATACAAACTTTTAGTTTTTTTTTTTTTTAATTATCCTTTCAATTAAACAGTTGACATCTGGCATCCTGCAGGTAATCATGTTGATGCTTAAATTCCTGGGAAAAGCATCAAAGTTTCTTGGTTTTTTTCTTCTGAGAGTTGACGTTAAGCGCTGTCTGTCACAGGCTGCAGGGAGAGAAGTGGAGAGCAATTAATACATTAAGTAATACACTTGATATAAATAGTGACTCTGTACCAATAACTGCATTTTACTTCTACAATTGTCAATTCTAAAATGGTATCTATTTGTATGTCTTTAAGTACATTGTATGTTGCATTGTTGAAGGTGCCTTGTATTAACAGGTTCCATTGTTAAAAACTGTGTTAGCTGTTTTTCAAATGACAGTAAAGCCTTTTAATACCATGGTGTTATCCTAAAACCTGCAAAAATACCACAATGGCCACATTCTGTCCTCATCCCTGTGTATTGTCTCACCTTGTCTGCTGTTAGCTTCTCTCCTGCGGGAGCCTTGTCCTGGGCCTCTGCTTTCGACTCGCTCTGTGAGGAGGGGGCATTTGCCTTGGGTCCGGCCACATCATTGAGCTTGGCCTCCGCTTTAGACTTGCTGCCGTCGACTTTCGTGTCACCGTCTGCCTCAGTATCCTTCGGCCGCTTGGGTGAAGCCTAATGAAAAAAGGTATGAGGGAGTGTCAAAGAGATAAATAACTACGAATCCTCTTACTTGGAGTATGTACGACTGACAGTCTCAAAGCTCACCTCTGTGGACTCCTCTGCTTTTCGTTTATTCCCTCCCCTCTCGTTCTTCTCATCGATTACCAGAGCCCCTTCATCCTCATCGCTGCTGCCCTCGGCGTCTGCTTTCTCCGTGCTCCCAGCATCCCCTGCTCCTTCTGAAGCGTTGTCCTTCTTAGATGACTACAGGCAGAGATTTAAATAATAGTGTAAGAAAAGGGAGTCGGACCAACAAAGACACACGCTTGAGTCTGACTGTTGCCTTGAATAAATTAAAAGGGCAGTTCTCTGACAGTCCTCAATGGGGGTAAAGAGTGGAATGCCATTTTTGTAGAAACAGATTTCACCAGGTTTATACAGACATGAGAATTTTTTTTCTTTAAGGTGTTCTAAAATTACCAAAGTTGGACATCACACATAGACAGATTACTCACAGTACAATAAAACAGACTCGAAGAAATAGACCTACATCGTTGGCTTCATGCTTGACGGTGGGGTTGTTCTCGATCTCCCAGAGTCCCTCAGCAAAGCCTTTCCTCTTGTTTGCTTTACCAAACTTCTCTTTGTTTTCATCGTAGGGGCACAAATCCTTGGCCCCCAGGAACGCCCTGTGGTGAGCAAACATAACTCATTCAGTTTCGTTAAAGTGTGCACATCTATATACACATTATACACTCCAGCATGTTCATTTCAAATGTCTGTTTGTCAGAGACGGAGTTATGCCATACAATTAGCTTTGTCGATTTCTACATACGGACATTTGACAGCGATATACGATATAATAAGGTATTTCCGTGATAATTTTCACAACAAATAATCAACTTTTCAGTATTATTTTTTTTATCTTTTAAGTATTACTGTTTTTCCCCAAAATTCAGAAAGAAGTTGGCAAGAGACAATATTGTTCTATTTTCTTAAATTCTTAATGTTTACCCATCATATTTTCTCCACCTGGAATAAAACACACAACACATTACTCACGTCTCATGTGTCCCAAAGAAGAACACCTGGTACTTGTTTGAGGGGGACTTCACAGCTCCTTCGGGTAATTCGTCAATCTGTGAACACAGAACACAGCTTCTTAGGAAAGGCAGAAAAATAGGACAATCAAAAATGAATGAAATAAGAAAAATGGATTCAAATACTGTAGTGAAAGCCCAGTACGACTAGAACAAAACATTTGTATCCTGAATCATGTTTACAGATATAAACTTTAAACATTTTATAGAAGTTAACGTTTTTTGAGTTCACAGAGCATCAGCCATGCAAGACATTTTTTAAGTCAGGCTTGGATGTCATTATTTAAATTTCTATTTGCCAATATTTATTTGTGTTAGAACAGAGGCACAGGAAGGCATGGCGTTTGTTTGCAAACTGCCAGACAGACAGCTTTGGCATTCCAAGATAGGGCCTTGGTGTCAGGATAGGTGGGGCCCTGTAGCCTGCTGGCAAGGGCCATGGCTGATAAGACTGAGAAAAAAGGCAGGAAAAGGTACCGATCAGGACTTTGCGATTTTGGTATAGTATGTTCTGTCATTCAAATGCATAAAAGATTGAAACATAAAAACTCAAAAACGGACTAAAATTGTAATTAACTGTTGACTTTCAACTCCAGAAGGTTACGGTTTTTGAGTTCTTGTTTTGGCTATAGTGTAGAATAAAGAACAACATTGTTTTTTTATTTTGATCCACATTTTATCTGGTTTTGTAAGTGCAGAACCGTTTTTTATAAAGCTCTGAGTGAGGCTGCGTTTTCGAGGGAAATGTAATTCTGTTTAAAGTTCACACTTTCTGTAATAATTAATGATTAGAAAACACTTACTGTAATGTGTTTATAGAACTGATAGAGATTACGTTATGGTCTGTTGTTATTAGCATGGAACAATGTATTTATCGTGATCAGAAGTGGAAGAAGTACTCAGATTGCATACTTAAGTAAAACTACCAGAGCAGGAATACTATTACTATTCCTATAAGTCCTGCATTCAAAATGTTACTCAACTAAAAGTAGAAAAGTATTGAAATCAAAATATATATTTAAAGTAACAAAAGTAAAAGTACTCATTATTAAGATTGGTCCATTTCAGAATTAGATATATTATATGTTTTGATTATAATTATTAATGCATCAAAATGTTTATCACAGCTGGTAACAGTGGATCTAATTTTTCACTGGAGGGTAGCTTGTGGATTTAGTCCAGGTGTGACTAAAGTCTTGTTTAAGTGCTAATTATATTTCATATTACATTACACTTAATTTAGCTGACGCTTTTTATCCAAGACTATCTATAAACCCAACCAGATTAGGTGCTACTGCAATAGTTTATCTTAAAGCCAATCATATCATTAATCCAAATCTGCAAAGTAACTAAAATAAAATAAATGTAGTGGGGTAAAAAAAACAACTCTGAATTGTAATGAGGTAAAAGTACAAAGATGGAAATACTCAAGTTAAGTACCTTAACATTGTACTTGAGTACAGTACTTTTATAAATGTACCTTTACTTTACATGACTGGCAGTAATGAAAGTCTATCCTTAGGAGCAGAAACAGTTACTTGTTGCACCAAGTCTGGGCAGGCATGTTTACAAAGTATCAAACCATATGGCTACACACGCAAACATGTAATGCAACAGTTATACACAATAACCACCTCCAAATTAGTAAATAACGTAGATACAAAGTGGATTCCTATCAGTGTCCTCAGGTGGCCCTGTGTTCACATAGCGTGTGCTACTGGATGTGTATAAAATGACCGTTAACTTGTGGCTGCTCTTCTGAACGGTTAGCTGTTATTAGCCTAACAACAGGCCCCCTGGGAGACGAAAGCGGCAAATGAAGAGCAGCTTCGGCGGCAGATAGCAGCTAGCAACGCCAGTCATATTTAGTTAGCCGAGCAGGGTAATGATGTCTGAGTCCACGATGACTCACTCGAAAGACATTTGTCTACAGTTGGTTAGCTGTGTGTGGAGGCTGGGCAGCGTTAGCTAACACGGCTGAGCTAAGCTAACTCATCAAAGCTAATGCTAACCAACGTTACTGATAGGCCTGGTAGGTAAACAGAAAGACTCAAATGTACATCAAACCTTAAGCTGGTTCAAATACATTCAACGTCAGGTGCTTACCCTCGCAGGCCAGTGTGGATACCCCTTCATTTTAGCAAACACAAGATCTCCAGGTTTGTATTCTTTTTGCCTGTTGGACCGCGGCATGTTTCTTGCAGAAATTGCTTGCTATGTCCGCCAAAAAAAGAGTAATAGTTTAGGGTGGGTCAGTGTCCGGGTTGGTCAACACCTGCTGCAAACAAGTCGGGTTTTCATTCAAATGAACCAGGCGCGGAAAACGGGAGCAAAGACGCGGCGACGGACGAGCTATTTCGCGGATCCAGTGGGATAAAAAAAAAAAACCGCGGCCTTTGATTAGGACAACGCACTGGTTTATGAAAGGAAACGTACAATTGTTACGGCTAAACGCTTTAACGTTTTGGTGTTTACGTTATTCTACAATCCAGGGGCCCGTCCCTCGGTCTGTTAGGGTTTGAAATTGAAACCGCTTCCCACTTTGCAGACGCGCCCCCAGTACCTGGCGAAGCTGCAGTTAGCGCCCCTGTCGACCGAAACCTCACACTGGAGGTTTATTCTCATACAATACATAAATAAAAAGGGACCCATTTGGGGTAAGCAAGTATAAAAACAATATTTGCTTGAGAATGTGCAGGGCAATTTAATAGAAATGTAAGTACACAGAATGATAATTGTTTTCTTACAAAGACAGACAGCCATACATAAATGGACAACCATGACTGCCCGGAACCATCGTTGCATATGTTGTTTCCACCCGGAGTCATGAGAAGCAAGCACCGCAAGCATGTTGTGAACTCTGGAAGTGTCCATGCTGAAATATCCGATAATAATCCTTGGATATTTTGGTGTTAAATCCATAAAAAGAGTCAATGTAACCGGAAGAATAGTCTGGGACTTAACAACAACAATTACAGCCGTATTTCTGACTGCACCTATCAGTCATCATGGGACTCAAGCGACAGAAAATAGCCAAGAAAACCATAAGCTTCTACAAATACAACTTCAGCTTCAGACAACCATTTCAGATCCTCATCGATGGGACTTTTTGTCAGATGGCTTTAAAGAACAAAATTCAGATCAAAGAGCAAATGCCCAAATACCTGATGGGAGAAGTGCAGCTGTGCACCACAAAGTAAGTAGAGCTACTCATGTATAGTGTTTATGTTAAATGTAAATATCTTACATCTTACTTTTTTTCCAGCTGTGCACTGAAAGAACTGGAGACTCTGGGGAAAGAGCTGTATGGAGCAAGAATCATCCTGCAGAAGTTTCAGTCCAGGAGATGTGCACATCTTAAGGATCCTGTCCCGGCTTCAGAGTGTCTGCTGTCCATGCTGGGGGAGACAAACCCACACAACTATTTTGTTGCCACACAGGTAGATAATAGATCCTTTGTACACTGACACACACCAACCAGAGGGAAAGCAAAATAAGGAATAATGTGTTTTTTGGGTACTTGTGGGTTATCTGTTGCCACTTTTTTATTCATTAAAATAACAAACATTAATCCTAGGGGTTAATGTTGTTTAGAGAGTATGAAAAAAAGAAACAAAAATGGTGACAGATAACCCACAAGTACCGTTTTTTGTATGTTGGAAATCAGAATCAGCTGACCTTATCTTATGTTTAAACACCCCTACACATATAGATATAAATAGACATAAAGCTAAAAGGACAACAACGCTGTAAAGTAAACATAGAACTCATGTACAAATTAGAACGGGTGTATATACAAAAAAATATATATAACTACTAAGCAACAACCTCTGATGCATTGATTTTGTATCTGTGTGTACTCCAGGACCACACCGTCACTGCAGGTGTGAAGAAGATCCCAGGCGTTCCTCTGCTCTACATCATCCTCAACACCATCGTGCTGGACAAGCCCTGCCAGACGTCCCTTGATCACGTGAAGGCCGTCTCGCTGGGAGAGATGGTCAGCGTGGCGCAGCAGCAAAGCATCCGCAGCCTGAAGGAGGACAAGGGCATCGCACAGAAGGACGGAGAGAGGCGGGGGAAGAAGAGGAAGAGGAAACAGAGCAATCCTAACCCTCTGAGCTGCCTGAAGAAAAAGAAGAAAGGGGGGCCGACACCACCGAAGAACGCGGAGCAGGGGGAAAAGAAGAAAATAGTTAAAAACAAGAAACAAAAGACGGAGGGAGGAGACAACTTGCCAGCTCCTGTGGTTACAAACGCATAGAGACAAGACATAGACTTTATCCATTCGTTTCTTTAATTCATTATATGAAAAGTTCCACAATCTCAAATATATGATACTTGCTCTCGTGTGTTTTACCGATGTTATTAGAATAAAGCAATGTTTTTCACATAACATTTTAAAATACTGTTCACGGTATGTTTTCTACTTTGAAAAATGTTGCAACAGTTTCAAGACTAAGGACTCACAGGCAGAGGACTGATATATGTTCAGAAACATAGCAGTATTTTTGAGTCATGGAAGATTTGTCTTGGTTTTTTTACAAAATAAAAAAGCAGGTTTACAGGCACATAGTTTAGAATATAACATACTCGGACATTACATCATAAGGTTGAAATAGAAGTAGATATCAAAAACTGTTGTCACAAGGAAATGTACTGTATGCTGTGTGAGTCCAACGACCAATTAGACATCTTGATTGTGTAATTATTCATTCTAGAGATTAAAAATGTTGCTTTTTAATATAAAAAAAAGTGAATTCTCTTGATATATATACATTAATACATTGATATTGAACAAGTATCAACTTGATTTAAACTTTCAGAAGTTATTCTTAACAGTTTGTTGTACAGTTTTAACTAAATGATTATCTATACATAAAAAAGACAGGATAAATTGAGCCATTCACAAACTTCAAGTCTTTTAGGAATATGAGAGCAACACAGTAATACAAATGTTAATTTCTTGAGCAATTACACCAATACATGTCAGGACTAGCATGCAAATATGGCCAGCCACTGCTGTTTACATCATCTATAGGTTGAAACCAAAGCTGTGCCCCACTTCCATAGTAGATACTATTTATATGCAGTATGTACAATATATTTATAGTGTGCAAAAGTCGCACACTCAAACTTTTTTTAAATAAGTATGTAGTATGGCTTTGGGACACAACTATAGTTTTGTGCAAACAGTTGAAGATGCAAGCCACGCATTTACAAAATGTACAAATGGAAGTTAGCAATACTTAAAGTGCTACACTACAGTCATACCATGATTAGTTGCTGGTTGAGTGTCACTACTGTAGTAACTGTTCAAATGTTCTCTTGCAGGCTCTGGGTATATGCTCCTTTTGGCTAATGTCAGTGTACATGAGAACTGTTTTTCCTGCTGTGTTGGGACAGAAGAGTCCAAGTAACAGGGTTGATTGAGTTATCACTTGCACCATAAACATATTTTAAACTAGACACATTTTAACTTGAGTTCCATGCTGGTGCAACACAACATCTCCTTCGGGATAAAGAATATATATAGATCAAATAAATTATAATAAATAAGAAAAGTGCCAATTGTTTTGATTTGCAACCCCCCTTGCGTTGGATTTCTTCTAAGAAGACATAACAAACAAACCTGGTTATTCAAAAATCTTTCGCCCCCACCACAATATTTAAATATTGCAGGAAGAAGAATATCCCACAAAAATAACCTTTTCCTCACTAAACTAGTGTTTTCTAGATGATGTGAAAGCGAGGTCCGGGTGTAGCTACGATGTCGCTGTACGGCTCCTCCTGCACCAGCTCCACCGCCTGCTGCTTCTTCAGAACCAGGAAGCTGTAGAACTTGGCTGCCGCCTGCTTCTTGTTGTTGTTCCTGCACAGATCCAGCAGGCCCACCGACTGGGCGCCCGTTTTGTCCATCACCCTCTGTGGCAAGGTGAGACAGAGGAGGTCAGGAAAGGGAAGTTTCTTTTTTTAAAGTCATCCAAGTATTACATCTCTAGATCAACTGTAATTCTTTAAGCAGCAGATGATAAGATCCTATACCAAATAGAACAATCCAAAGCCTCTTGCGTGTAGACTCACAAAGTCGCCTTATCAAATTTAAATTCAAAAGAGCTTTATTGACAAGTTGTAAGGACATTTAAACCTGTATTTTTTTCAATATATTGTCATTTGTTTGTTTATTCTAGGGATATAACTCCTAGTTTTGTGTAATATCTATCAGAAGTGGGTCAAAAAGGACCCGTATTAGAATAATGTGTTTTTATGCCATTTCTGTCATTTTGGTTAAGAAAAATCACTTGTATAATATTTAGTATTATATTTCGGTTTACACTAGAAAAATGTATATTTAATTTTTCACTATTTATAATTTTAGACATTTTGAAAAAAAAATGTTTTGAACATATTGATGCAAAGATCCCCGTTATTCTGAGACCCTCACAGTATTCCAGTCCCTTTTCAAAACTCATCTCTTCTCCTCTTGTCTACTGATAGCCCACCCCCCATCAATCCATACCGATTGATCAAGTTTGATAGTCCAATACCCCCCCTAACCTTCCCTTATATTGTAAAGTGATTTTGAGTCCTTGAAAAGCCCTATAAAAATATAATGTATCATTATTGTTATTATTATTATTATTATACTGACAGGTATCAGATCTTGCTGTGTAAAATAATCTTCCTGAGAGGTGTCACTTGTGATGTAGTCTGTGTGGTCTACAGTGAAGGTATTCCTGACAGCCACAGGTGATAAGAATCAAAGGTTCCCATAGGGTCACATAGAAAATGCATGCAGGTAATTGTTGACCCACTTATGGAAGCTTGGGGTAATAATACAAAAACTGCAATTTCTTAAAATGTATACAATGTAAATTTAAAATTTGAATGGCATGATATCCAAAACATGTTTTTGAGGAATAGCTGGAATATGAAATGATACAAAAATGTAATTACAAAGATACTTAAAGAAAACCACCTCACCGGGTCAAAAAAGACCCACTTATACATCCAAGTCTACAGATATCTGTTTCAGTTCAAATACCTTATTTCCTTATTTTATTTTTCCGAGATAAAGCACATTTTCTATTATTCTTTTCCCCTAAAACATCAAAAAGCATGAATATATTTCTGTCTTTATAACAAATCCTGAAAGGAACATTTTACATAAGCGTGCCTGTGCAATGTTTCATATCTAGTTCTACAGGCCAAATATTACGTATCACTTAAATAGAATATAATCCAGGGTGTTATAATGTGTGAACTTGAAGTAGTAGTTGCAAGATATGCTGTTATTCTGGCTCTTCCAATAAGATGTAAGCACAAAGATACCTGAAGGCCATGGAGCATCTGCTGGGTTCTCTTGTTCCACTTCCTCTCCTCCTGGTCCTGGACTCCTCCCTGCACCTCCTCCTCCTGACACAGAAAAACGTTTTAAACACTAACAAATTCTCCTTATAACAAAGTAATTGAAAACATAAATCCTCCTTAAATTCATCTGAAAAATAAGGAATAAAATACAAATCCCACAAGTGTACTGTAGATCTGTGTCTCACCTCTTCATCAGAGTCGTCGCCGTCCTTCTTCCTGTCCTTATCGCAGAGCAGGTCCAACTCTATCATCTGGCTGATGTTGGTGCTCTCCTCTGGAGGCAGATCCACACTGGATGACTCCTGCTGCTGGGACTCCTGCTGCTGGGACTCCTGCTGCAGGGACTCCAGCTGCAGCTCCCATTTAGAGAAAAAAACGTTAACGGATGCTAGAGATAGAATAGAATAGAATCATTTCATGTCATTATACATGAGGGAAAGAAATGCTTCTCCCTTTCAAGGGTGCCATCAAAACAAAAAACATCACAACAAATACACGCAGCATACATACTTAGGAATAAGGAATAAAGTGCAGTAATTATTTCCAGGGGTATAAAAAATAAAATCTAAAATGTAATAAATAATAATAGTAGGTATGTATTTATAATAATAATGATAATAATAATAATAATAATAATAATAATAATATATATGTATATATATACAGAGTCACATTTATTTCTCATGCAGGATGATTAAGAGGTATGACTTTCAGGTGTTTAGAGCAATGATGGCTCTTGGGAAAAAACTGTCTTTGAGTTTTTTCCCAGGGTGGAGACTTTGGAGTCCTGACACCAAATATGGGGTGATCTCAGATATGGATCATGAATGTAACTTTTTTATTTATTTAACCAGATTGAGATAAAATCTCATTTACAATGCTGACCTGGCCAAGAAGGCAGCAACGTTACACATTATTACACATAACACAGACATATAAAATACAGAGAACACAACTAAGTAAACAAAAAGACGAAAAGCAGTCACTACATTGTGCACATTTGGGACAGTAAGAAAAGTACACTACTTATTACTGCAAGAGCAGCTGGTGGTAAGGACCTCAGACAACTTCAATTTAAAAACCAGGCTATTGGGACAAGTGCCATCAGTTTAAGGTGTGATTGAAGGTCATTCCAAGACCAAGGCCCATAATGAAAAATGGAGACAGACTTTGTCTCGCGTTCAGACCGAGACTAACCAATCCGACCCGGGTCGAGGACAACAGTTAACCACGTTGGCGAATCTCTACAGCCGCAGACGCAA